CCGCCGGGGCAGCCTGGGCTGGTGGGACAACCTGATCGATGGCACGGCTGTGGCTAGAGTCGTAGGTGGCCAAGGCAGCAGGTGGCAAATTGCTAAGCCTATACTCAGCAGTGGCAGGAAGAAGCCTAAACTGGGGCAATGCAACCAGAACGGGAGAAGAAGCGGCGACGGTGGAGGCCCTCCACAGGCCGGCCCCACACCGATCACGTCCAGGCTCTCTGTCTCCCCCAGAAATGGCTTATGCAGTCGATATTTGAGCCCAGCCTGGCTCCAGAGTCAGCAAGAGGCACACATGTCTTTGGAGGAAAGGCCGAGCCACCTTAGGGTGCAGAGAGAGGGTACCCAAGGTCCCCAGGACCAGTCGGGCCTAACCCCTAAGAGCCTCTAAGCCCTCAGCAGACCGAAAGGCAAAGGCAGCCCCCATTTCTGTCCCTCACCCATCCCACCGGCCTTCCCTATCCTGAGTACTCTGCCAGGAGGTGAGCAGAGGAGACCTAGTCAGGACAGAGTCCCCTGTTCATGCTGTAAGTTTTTATTAAACACTTTCTCTGTGCAGCACACTCTGCTAGGCACTGAGGAGGCCCCAGGCTGGACGTGACACTGAAGGTGGCTTCAGACCCCCCAGCTGTCAGAGAAGGCAGATCCACCACCAGGATACAGCAAGAAGAGAGTTCCTAGTCAGAGCTGGGTTTGCATTCCGACTTTGCCACTCACTGGCTGTGTGACTTTGGGCTAGTCACTCCGCCTTTTCAGGGCTCAGTTTGCTCATCTGTAAAATGAGGCCAGACACCCCAAGGATACCAGAATGATCAAGCAGTGCTTGACAGAGGACAGCCTGTGATGCCTGGGGTCTTAACTCTTTTCACCCCATTTCTAGTTCCATTTCTAGTTCTGGCACCCAGCTCTTCCCAGCAAGGTCCTTGGCTCTCGGAGAACTTGGGTGGGGGTGGGGCCATGCCTTCTGTGGCATGGAAGGGGACAGCTGCTGGCCCAGATGAAGGCAGGGGTTGGGGGTGGTGGGCATTGGTGCCAGCCGTGGGGGCAGGGCCACTCCTCAGCGGAAGAGGTTTCTCAGCTTCCTGGAAGCTGTCCCAGTGACTCACGGCCGTGGCAGCCCAGCAGCTCACCCCTAAATCCCTACTACCGTTATTCAGTCCATCTCCCTTCGTCGAGCTCTGAGCCAAGGGCAGAGGGGGTGGGCAGCCCCTATGGTCCATCTCATTCCTTGTCCAATGGCAGGAACTCCATCTATCAGCCTGGCGTAGGGTCAGGAAGCCTTTGAGGCTTGGACTCCCCACCCATCCCAGTCTGTAGAAGGAAGGCTGCCAACTTTGACAGTGGGAAAGGCTACACGGGTCTCCTGGTTTATTGTACCCATGAGATAGGCAAGGACTTGCCCAAGGTCACACAGAGGGTTGGTGGCTTAGCCAGGCCTCCCCAGCCTGTTCCTCCTGCCCAGAGAACCCCTGCCTTTGAACACCTTCACCAGAAGCCAGGACCCAGCACAGCCCTACCTGGCCCCCCTTGGCTGGCTGGGCGCAGAGGAAGCATAGGTTGAGATGGAGACAGGCCAGCTCTGTGCCCTCATGTCACAGAGGCCATAGGGGTCACCACCCTTCTCCAAGAGGCCAACCCTGAGTCTAAGCCGGAAAGGATCCAACTTGAGGCCCAACTTCTTGTCCCCTCACTCTTGGCCTCCCAAACATGGACCTGGCCCACAGCCAGTAGCTGGGCTCTTGGCGCCCCCTGCAGGCCAAGAGCACCAGGTGGACTAACTATTGAGGCCCCCTTCTCTCCATTGGCAGAGGTGGGGAGCACCCAGGCAGGACTGAGGAGCCCAGTGGCCCCCTCGCCTTCTCAATTCACTCTCCCCCTATCCCTTAAACTATCTTCCTGCCCTGTCTGCCTCTGACAGGCTCAGGCTTCTGCCCGGATATTACTAGTCTCTGAGCATCCCCTAGGTAGAACCTGGTAGAGAAGACAGGGAGCCTCTGGGAGGCAAGGACTGAGGGGAGTGTCCCAGCTCCCTACATTTCATTCCTTCACTCGCCCACACTGCAGGGAAGGCAGAGATCCTCGCAGTTATGGGGCACCCACAACGTGCCCAGCTCAGAGCCAGATGCACCAGCCACAATGAGTCACATTAATTTCTCACAGCAGCCCTATAGGATAGGAACCATTATCTCTATTTCTAGATAAAGAAAGCCAGATACAGACAGGGCCTGCTGCCAGGGACCGACTCTGCGGTGGGCGAGGAGAGTGGGTCTCAGAATCAGATCTCCCCCAGGCTTAGAAGGAAACACCACCCAGTGGTTACCCGAGAGCTCCCCTAAAACATCCTGCAGGCCAGCACCAGCCCGATTCACAGCTGCTCCTAGGAATGTGTTAAAAGCGCAGATGCCCACCTGGAGCAGGGCCCAGGCACCTGCACTTTCGACAAACCCACAAATGTTTCGAAGCACAGCCAGATTGGAGAACCATCAGTCTGGTCCAACTCACACGCCTGACAAATAGAATCCTGCTGCTGCTCGCACATCTCCGGGGATGGAGGGTTCGGTGACCAGCAGGCAGCCCGCTTGACTGCACCTTGCCTGTCATCCTTAGCTTGAACAAACCCAGCTCCCAGCAGCTTCTGCCCACTGGTGTCAGTTCTAGTCCTCCAGCCACATTCTCTCTACCAAAGGCTTTGAAGTCAGGCAAAGCCAGGTTCAAGTCCTGGCTCCACCTCTTGGTAGCTGTGTGACCTTGTGCGTAAGGCAAATTGCTGAACCTGTCTGTGCCTCAGTTTCCTCCTCTATAAAATAAGAGTTCACTGGCTTGCTGAGAGGATAAATGCAATAACGTAAAGTACTTAGCCCAGTCCTTTCTAAGTTCCATAACAGTTCGCTGTTTTTATTATCATTGTCATATAAATTTTCTATATTTTAATAGGGCTTTCTGTACCTTTCTTTTTGGTCCCCATTCATTCATTCACAAAGGTTGAGTTCCTGCCCCATTGCCTCAGGCTTATGTCAGACCACCTTTCACGCATAGCATTCCTTTTGCCTCTGACAATAGTTCTTGACTTAGCCAGAACTGGTATCTTCCCCACATTACAGATGAGAAAATTGAGACCTAGAGATAGTGACCTTTTCCTGTGACCCTTCTTCCAGCAAGAAATCTGTGTGGCTTCCCTTATAGGAAGCAACAGCATCTTCACCGCCACTCCCCAGAAAGCCCCTCCCCCAATGAGTTTGCTGGCGAAGCCCCTTGGGGTATGGGGTCCTAGGTCACTGTAAAGTCGGGGGCAGCAGGACCCTTGCTGTCTTGTGCAGAGCCCCTGATCTGAACAAGATCTGAGGGTACAGCCTGGGTCTGAGTCTCCTCCTGGGAGGCGGTGGGAAGGCCCCTTTCTCAGTCTGTGCTCACCTCTAAAATGAAGAGTCTGGACCAGACCACCTGTCAGGGAACATTCCTTAAGTCTATGGTTTTCTGTGCTCTGCTGCCCCCCAGGAACCTGGAAGGCAGCCCCAGGCAGCCCTGCCCAGGGAGGTAAGCAGATGCATCGCTCACAGAGCAGGTGGGAAAGGGAGGCAGGGAGAGAAGAGGAGGACTTCCAAGGGCACCACTCAGCTCTCCTCCCACATTAGGCTGCCACTTGTGCACCCGTTACGTGCTGGGGACTTAAGATGGGGGTGGGGGCCCGGCGGAGGGGCAGCAGTTACAGCACGAGTCATAGGGACATCCAGACCTGGGCTCCAATCCAGATCTGTCCAACAAACCGGGTTGAGCCAGTCACTTCACCTCTCTGAAACATACCTGGCACTTAGCAGGTGCTCAGTGAATGTGCGCCTCCTTCCCTTGAGAGAAGGGCTGCTTCTCCCCAGGACCTTTCCTTGTCCTAGTGAGCATTTTTGCATCTTGCTCCCAGGCCCCTTGCCTCCTCTCACCTCACAAAGTGTCTGTCATTAGATGAAGCAGAGCCTTCCTGGGCTCTTCAACCTGCTGTGGAGGACAGGCAGAAGGAAGGTCCTTGGGGTCTGAAAGGGTTAGAGGCTTGGCTCTGGCACTTGCTATCTGTGTCACCTTGGGCATGGCACCCTCTTAGCCTTCATTTTGGAATCCATAAAATGGGCATAATAATTATCACCTCATAGATCTGGGGTGAGGATGCAACGGGATGAAGTGCCTACTACTGTGCAGCACATAGTAGGTATTCAGTGAACAGCAGCGCTCTCTTGTCCTCCACTGAAATGGATGTGTTAAAGCCCCTTCTCCCCACATGTGCCTAGTCCCAGAGCTTCTTGACATAAATTATCTCATCTAGATTGATCCTCACCATGACCCTATGAGGTGGAGCCAGCATTGTCACCCCATCTTCAGGCTATAAAAACTCAAGGAGCTAAGGAGAGAGCATGGCATACTGTTTTTGAAGACCCCCCTCTCCCGCTACCACCCATGTGTCAACCATCCCCAGCCCCCCAGCTCTTCACTGCCCTCATCGTCCCAGCCCCAAATGCTGCAGCACTGATGCCGGTCTCCATCTGGTGGCCTTGGGATGTGGCTAGCAGTGAGAATCTTGGCTTTGCAGCCAGAAGGTAGGCTTAGGTCACTGGGGTCCCTACCTGGGGGTGGAGAGAGATGCCAGGGCAGACAGTGACTCCCAGCTAGAGGGCATGTCAACATGAAGGAGTTGGAGCCCAGGGGCTGGGGCTGGGGTAACATCAGGGCACAGACATTGGTGCAGGGGCCACCCAGAGCAGGGAGGGATCCCACGGGGTCTCCACCTGCTTTGGCTGCCTTATGTGAGGCCTCCTTATGTGAGACAGCACTTTCCCCTCTTGCCCTGAGCACTGGGCAAGAGAGCCTGTCTCTGGGTCCAGACAGAAGCTGACAGCCGGGACCCACGCTGGGACAAGTCGGTTCCCAGAGACCTGGGCTGGGCACAGCCTCGTCCTGGGAGTGGAAAGAGGAGGAAAGGGGCTCTGCACCGCACTCCACCCCCACCATCCTCTCCCCAGGTACCTGGCCAAGCTGTCCTCGGTGGGGAGCATCTCGGAGGAGGAGACGTGCGAGAAGCTCAAGGGCCTGATCCAGAGGCAGGTGCAAATGTGCAAGCGGAACCTGGAGGTGATGGACTCGGTGCGCCGCGGCGCCCAGCTGGCCATCGAGGAGTGCCAGTACCAGTTCCGGAACCGGCGCTGGAACTGCTCCACGCTCGACTCCCTGCCGGTCTTCGGCAAAGTGGTGACGCAAGGTGAGGGAGGGGCTCGTGGGGGGGCCGGGGGCCCAGCCGTGCCCGAGGGTGGGCCCTCGGCCAGGGGACCCCAGAAGAGACTACCACTTCCTATGCTCGTGAGTGGCCAGGCTATTCAGTCACTTATCAGATGGACACAGCACCCAGCTCCAGCGAGGGCATAAGGCGCACGCAGGTGGAGGCTCCGTGAGAGCGGCGTGATCCAGGCGGGCGGGAGTTCCGGGTGGGAGGGCGGTCAGAGGAGGCTGCCTGTCTATGTGCTGTGCAGCACTCTACAGTGTGCAGCATCTTCAGTCCTGGAGCTGCCATCCCATGTTACAGAGGAAGAAAGTGCGGCCCAGAAAGGGGAAAAGATGGAGTTACCCCAGGCTCCTCAGAGAGTGGACAGCAGAATCAGAATTCAGACCTGGGGGTGGAGGGAGTGGGGAGGTAGCTGGGGTAAAGGGGGTCAAATATGTGGTGACAGAAAGAAATCTAAATATGAGAAGTGAACACACAGTGTAAATATATATATGCCTTATTGTTAAAGTGTACAGCTGAAACTTATTGGATGTCGTTAACCAATGTCACCATTAAAAAAAATGAATTAAAAAAAAAAGAGAGTTCAGACCTGGGCTCCAGGCCCCCATGCTGTCTTACCTCAGCACTCAGCCTCTCCTACGTGAGCCCATCTCACTCCCCGTCTGGTCCTCTGATGAACTCTATTGAGAGCCTCACTGCGCCCAGCCCTGAGACCCAGAGACAAACAGCCCCAGCTCCTACCCTCCCAGGCTCTGTCGCAGCTCAGTAGGCATAGTGGCTAGCGCACCAATAGCACTAACTAGGAACTGGACACTGCAAAGTGTTTTAACTCACCTGGCCCTCGGGGATAGGCCTCCATGTTACAAGAGAAGAAACTGAGGCACAGAGAGTTTAAGTGACTTGCCCAGGGTCACAGAACTAGAAAGTGACAGAGCCAGGGCTCGAACCCAGGCAATCCAGTTCCAGGGTCTTACCCACAATGAGAAAACCCTGTGATGGAGAGGACATGGGCCTCTTGGGACCACAAGGGTGGACCCCTCCCCTGGCCAAAGCTTTCAAAGAAAGCTTTTCCAAGAAGGTAAACCCTTAGGCGAGACCAGAAGGGTGAGAATGCATTAAACCAAAGGATGGTGGACCAGGGCATAGAGAATGTTCCATGCAACTGGAAGGCTCCTCGAGAGGTCACCGGGTCAAGCCTCTGCCCTCGAGGAAGTGTTCTAAACCAGCTGCCTCTTTTTCTACTTCCTGAGCATGAAACTGACACTCCCAAGCCACCAACAGTCTACAGGGGCCCTTTGACTTGCTCAGGCAGCAGGAAAGCATTGCCTGGGCCAACCTTTGTCTTGGCACCTGTGATCCTGGACGTCTAGGGCTGCTGGGCTTGTGGCAAACCATTTGGATGTTGTTGGAAACCAACTGTGATAGAAATTTGGAAGCCATTCTCCTGGGAGCTGGCAGAGGCCAAAAAGGCATGATCATGCTTGGCATGACTGAGCACTGCTGCTCCAGAAAAGAAGCAGAGACCCAGTGAGCGGTCTGGTAGTGAAGGATCTCCTGGGACAATGATGCCACTGCCAAAGGCCAGGGCCTGTTTGATGAGGCCCAGATACTAGGCTCAGACAACAGCCCTTGAGCACAGGACGTTCTTCACACATAGTAGATGTTCGGTGTTTTGGATGGACTGGTGGCTAGATCAGCAGGTTTCATGTGCCAGGCCTTTTCACACCCCCACGCCTTTACACGGGCTGCGTCCCCTACCCCAAATACTCAACCCACTTTCTCGGCCAACCTAGTGGGACCCTCGTCCACGGTCTTCTCAGCTCCCACGAGCAGGTAGCCGCTTTTTCCTCTGAGATCCAAAGCTCTTTGTTCATGCTGGAGTTTTTTCCCTTTTCTTTTTCTTTTTTCTTTTCTTTTTTTTTTTTTTTTTTTGTAATTTTTTTTGTTTTGAAAAAATTTGAAACTTACAGAAAATTTGCAAAGCTAGTACAAGGAATTGCCATATACTCTTTACCTAGATTCACCAACAGATCACATTTTAACCCATTGGCCTCTTCTGTTTCTCTCTCTCAATTCACACATGCACATTTTCATCTAAATTGCTGGTGTTCACACGGCTTTTATTACACCTTTTAGACTGAACTCTGATGCCTGTCTCCCCCACCCCACCCTGCTATCCCTAAACCCTGAGCTCTTCCAAGGGAAGGGTGATGTCACAGCACATGGCAGAGCCTTGGCGTTGAGGAGACAGTCAGTTGATGCCTTCCAATGACAGGAAGCAAGCCAGAGCGCAGACCGGAAGGGGCAAAGAGAGGCAGGCGTGAGCCGGTGCTGGCCTGAAGGTGGACCCCATCAAGAAAGGCCTTCCTCACCCATGTGCGTGGCAGGAACTAAACAGGGGGGCCCAGCCCCGGCTCAGCAAGTTTGGGAAGACACCGGGAATCCTCCCCAGCTTGGCTGGAACCTGTTACATTCTATAGTCCGAGTGGCCTGGTCAAGCACCAGTCCTCTTGGAGCTAAGTCAAGGTGCCCTCCCCCCAGGTCCTCCGCACCAGGCAGTCCTGTTTGGAGGAGTCTGAGATCTTCCCATCCATCCATCTCCTCATTTTTATATTTTTCATTTTCTCCCCTAGTAAAATTCCTCTTGTAAAATTCTTAATTTGTCTCCATCGAACAAGAGGAGAAGAGACTTGTCCATCTCAAGGCAACGCGCTGCTCTCAGAAGGTGCAGGGGTTCATGAGGTGGCTGGAGGGAGAACATGGGCAAGCATGGCCTGGAGCAAGTGACTTCACTCCTTTGAGCCATGGTGTCCTCACCTGTCAGACTGGCAGGTGTGCTTACCTCATAAGGTTGTCATGAAGATTAGTGACATAACTCGTGGCAGCACTTAGTGTAGACCCTGACCCAAGAAGAGCTGTCTATCATCACCAGCTGCTGTCATTTTTGGCGGCAGTGATGGCAGCAGCGCCGGTCTGGGAAGGCCTATCTCATGGCCCCCAGCTTTTGGGGTTGGGGGACTGGGCCAGTACCTGCATTCATGAGCTGCCTGGCTGGGGTCATGACCACAGACACGGAGGAGGCCAAAGTTAACAGATCCCCCACAGAGCCAGGAACCCTCATTTGTCGAAGGCCTCCTGTGTGCTGCCCACATCAGATCACCCTGATGACAATTCTGAGAGCGTGTAGTATTATTTCCATCTCGCAGCTGAGGAAGGGGCTCAGCAAGCAGAGGGTGGTAACACACCCAAGTCTGGGGCCTGCCAACTCTTGGCTGTGAGATCTTGGGCGAGGTTCTTCCCTCTCCTAGCCTCAGCATCCTGCTCCCTATAAAGTGGGGACAACCCCAGGACCATTCTCCTGGGACTCCCATCAGGACTCAGAGACAATGCCTCTGAAGAACTAACTGACTCTAACAGACCCCCCTACACCCCGCAAGACACCATTCTCCTGGGACTCCCATCAGGATTCAGAGACAATGCCTCTGAAGAACTGACTCTAACAGACCCCCCTACACCCCGCAAGAGGAGGCCAGCTATCTTACTGCTGGCATTGCCCACGCCTCCCCAGCCTCCAACTCTGCGCTCCCACACTAAGCAGTGGAGGCCGCCCTGCTTTTGGCCCACTGAGGCAAGATGGATAGTGAAAAAATGGTGACCGATGAGGGTCATGTGTAAGTTAAGGCGAAATTGTGTGCTCTCAGCTGAAAAGCTACCAAAAATTTGGTAAAATTGGTATCTGGGAAGCCAGGAATGGGGGCAGGTGGCAGTTCTTGACTAAGGTGCAGTCATTAAGGGCCAGATATGGGATGGCATCTGTGCATTTCAGTCACTGCCTGAAAACAGTGCCTAGAGCAGCACCTGCACATAGTAGATAACTGATAAATACTTGTTGAATGAATGAAAAGGGATTGAGGATGGGAGGGAGAGGCCATAGCGTCTGACAGAGGTTGCCGTGAGCAGATGTACTGGGGTCTTAGAGCAGGCTGGCCTGAGCAGGATGAAGAGAGGCAGGAAAGGCAGTGCAGACTCCCATTCTCCTGCTTCTCTCCGTCTCTAAACAACACTGGGCCTCCCTCTGCCTCTTTGTATCTCACTCTATGACCTTGATCAACTTCCTGTCCTAAGAAAGGGGACTCCGTAAGCCCTTGGGCCCCTTCAGACTCTGGCTGCCATAGTTGGGAGGGGATGTGGTGCACTGGCCACAGCAAAGTGAGGCTTCAAAACCAGGCCCACCTCTCCACTCCCTATGTGTCTAACATCACCGAGGACACCTTACTGACTGTAACTTCGGCCTGGATTTAAAAAGCAAATGCTCTTCAGTCTTGGGCTGTGACTCACTATAAAACTTGTGTTCTCATCTTTGTCCTCAACATTGGCATCATGTTGGAGCCAGTGAGGGTGAGGAGATGCCTTCCTTCGGAGTGACCCCTCAGGCCAGCCTTGTGGTGCCATCAGATAATTTACAAGGTCGGGGGGGTACCCCAGAGACACTGCCACTGAGAGTTCCTTGAGGATGAACTCACCTGGGTATTCCTAGAGCATGGCATAGGGCCTACTCACAGCAGGTGATCAGTAAACATTTGGCGAGGCAGCCAGGGAGGGAGAGTCTGCCCTAAGGAAGTTTGAGCCCAAATCACGAAGATATGGTCAACTGACTGGCCCTCAGAGTATATATGCCAGACCAGTGTTTGTTAGCAAATGAATAAAATGGCATTAATCACCCTGCACTAATTCTCACAACAGCTACTATGTCTCAAGTGCCTACTGTGTGCCAGGGCCTAGACTAAGCCCATTCCATATTTGACCTCAGTAGATTTCCAGAACCACCTGATGAGGTCGGTTCTATTATCAGCCCCTTTTTATGGACAAGAAAGCTGAAATCACACATCTAGGAGGTGGCAGTGCCATGATTAGAACTCAGACCTGCCTAGCGCGCGTCCACACTTTCCCAACACCGACCCCTGTCTCCAAGTAGCTGTGAGGGGCCTGCTCTGTGCCCAGCCCTGGGCTAGGGGGCCAGAGGAGAAGTTCAAGGGACAGCCTGGCCCCAGGGACTTCCCATCCGGCTGCAGAGGCCAGACAAACACAGGATACTTAGAAGATAAAACAGGCTGCAGCCGGATTCTGATTGCGAGGGGCAGTCAGGCCAGTGAAAGCAAATCTGTAATGGTGGGAGGGGAATGCAGGAGTGTGAGGGTCTGGCCTGCGGGGCAGCGGGATTCTCCCCATGTTTGACTTGGGAAAATGAGGCTCTGAGAGGAAGATCACACCACTAGTAAAAGTCTTAGCACAGCGTTGTCCAGCTCCAAAGCCTTTACTCTTCCCCCTGTCCTATCCTACATCATCTCTTAAATCCAAAGAGGCTTCCTGGAGGTGGTTTCAATAAAAGGTGAGCTTTCACAGATGAGAGCAAAGGAAACTGGAAAGGCAGGCTGGGGGCAGAGATGAGGAGGGGACTGGGAGTAATGTCTTTCTCGAGACCAGTGCCTGTCCTGCCCCACCTCCCTAGGACACCTGCTGAGTCTGCTTTGGAAACATGCGAATTATGCTGGGAATGGCACTTCCACCAGGACACCCACCTGGTGCCCAGGAGATCACCATGTCCATGGCTTCCTTTCCAGCCCAACTCAGCTTCAGCCGGTTCTCCTTTAAACACCCCTTTCCAAACATGTCTGTCTTTCCAACATCTGGGAGAGACATCACACATGATGTGCTCAGAAGAGCACAGGCCTTGAGTCAGACAGGCCTTGTTCCAATTCCCTCTTGGCCACAGACTGGCTGAGGGACCCCAGGCAAGCCACCAAGCTTTACTTTTCCCTCCATAGAGCAGAGCTGGAGAGAGCTGGTTGGTAAGGTTGTCGTGAGCCTTGGACAACATATGCAAAGGCCCTGGCATCCTCAGAAAGGGGAGCTGAATTCCCAGCCCCAGGCAGCCTTAGCACCTTGGAAAAGACGGCATCGAGATGGGATCCAGAGGACACACAGGATTTAGGCCAGTGGAGCTGGGGTAGGAGGTACCCTGGGAAGGAGGAAAAGCAGGAAGAAAGGAGTTGGGTGTGGGACGGGCAGACATCTTTGTGGAAAAGGCAGAAGGTTGCAGGGCAGCTGCTGGCACTTTAGAGAGTCCTGCCTCACCCTGGGCCGGCTCTGCTGTCCCAGGAGGACAAAGCCAGAACTGTCTTCTTCCTGTGGCTGGAGCAGGCAAGTCCCCGACCAGGGAGCAGTTTTCTACCACGTTGCTGGGGAACTCCCTTCTGCCCCACTCGCAGGCATACCACAGTCCTTTTTCTCTCAATGGTTTCTGCCAGTTACCCCACTAGTGAGCAAGGCTCCAGCCTGGGCACCCAGGCAAAGAGGAGAATCTGGGAGGGGCCACAGCGCTGGAGTCAAAGGGCTGGGACCCAGGGCCAGTTAGAAAGGACTGGAGGAGCCGCTGCCATCGGCTTTAGGGGCACAGTGGCTTAGCCACATTATCCAGGCCTTCTGGGGCCTTGTGTGCTGAGCACAGAGGCCAAATGCTCACCATCCCCCAGTAAAGAACCCACAAAAGGAACTGGGCTTATCCCAGAGCACGTGAGATTTAGAGTACACCTAAGGAAGCCCTTCTTGGCTTCACACACGAGGTGGGAAAAGATGGACTGCATGTGTATTCCTGGGTGCGCCGGGCTCTGTGCGGTGGGATAACATCAAGGTTGAAAGCTCTGATGCCAGGCTGCCTGAGTTCAAATTCCTGTCCCACTGCATTCTGGCCAGGTATTGTTAGACAAGTTGCTTCACCACTCAGTGCCTCAGTTTCCTCATCTGTAAAATGAAGGTTAAAAGTCTGTACTTTATAGGGTTGTTGTGAGGAATATATAAATTACGTAAAGTGCTTAGACAGTGCCCAGCACAGTGTAAAGTGCTCTGTAAGCTTTAGCTCTTTTTATTATTATCTGCCTTCCAGAATCTATTCCTTCAGGCCCAGCCCCAAGGTGAGAAAACCACAGCAACCTTGTTCCCAAGGCCAGGGCAAGGAGGACCTGGAGTCCTGGCAGATGGGTATTGGCTCAGGGAATGAAGCGGGGGTCTCCCTGAGCAACTGTACAGGGCTTCCTGTACCCCAGGGCCCCAAGCGCTCAGGGGAGAGATGAGGCCAGAGCTTGGGGTGGGCCGGAGCTGCCTGAGAGCCTGGAGAGCAGGGAAGGAAGGACCGCGCCAGGCCAGGAGCTGGGGCCCATGGCCCTATCTCCCGCTTTCCCTTCCCCCTTGGTCTTTGGGGCAAAGAATTGTGCTGGTTCAGGCCTGGAAATACCATAAATACCAGAAACTGAAGTCGTCTCTCTTCAGGCAGCCACAGCACAAAACCAACCAACAGGATCCTGCTATTAACCTCCATTAACTTGGAGAGGGTTCCATCTCAGGCTGTCAAGGCCCTCACGGCCCCAGCCAAGCCCCCTGATGCCGGCCCAAAAGGGCCAGGCTGGGGCAGAGGGCGGCCAGTGGAGAGTGGGTGGCAGGCTGTATCCCCAGCTCAAGTGCCGAAGCAAGAACAGGGTGTCCTGAGCCATCGGGGCCTGAGCTGCCCCCACTCCGGCACTCAGCTTTTTCTGCTGCCTGTCCACAGACACGGGCACAGAGGAGGTGATTGTTTCTGTCTGACCACGGTGACTGCTCCCCAGGGCAGCCGAGAGCACAGGCCTGGGTGTCGCAGAGGTAATTGCCAACCACGGGGCCAAATCCTGCCCCCTTCACTCCTGTGGACACGGACACTCCAGCAAGAGACAGAAGGACAGTCACGGGCACACAGAGGCCCTCACAGGACCCAGGAGAGGAGCAGGGCCTGTCTGGTCACACTCCCAGCCAGCCATGCACACATGCACCACACTACACACACACACTCTCTCTCTCGTGCTCTCTCCCTTACCCACCCACACCCCCAGAAAGAGGCTCCACAGAAGCTACACCCCCTGAGGCACAGTTCCTAGGAGGATAAAAACACCCATTCAGGCAGGGGACGGGGGCAGGCACCAAAATAGCACCACTGAGAAGTCATGGCAGGGAAAGAACAGACCCAGAGGCAGACAGACCTGTGTTTGAGTCCTGTTCTATTAATTCCTGGCTGGCTCTCTGGGACCAAATCACTTCCCCTCCACAAACCCATACTGCATATGCGCCATCTGTGAAATGGGCACAGATAAAAGCTCCCAGCGGCAGATGGCATGCCATCAGCAGTAGTAGTGGTAAACTGTAGAGGCCATTGTGATTACAATTCATTTTTAAAGGGATAAGGAAGCAAGACAACAGGCCCAGC